AAAAATTTCGTTTGTTTTCGTACAAAATATCTTTAAATAAAACATTGAACGAAAATGTATAGGCATATCCACACATTTTTTTACGCAACTTAGAATGGCAAACAAGCTGACAGTCCACCTGATGGAAAGTGCTAACTGTCGCCTATAGACATGAGCAGTACCGTGGACATAACAGAGTATACTGTTTCGCCCATGATACCACCCATGCGTTGCCATTCCTGAGGACTCAGGTGTTATTCCTCTGTACCCTTTAAATTCACTGCCATATCCCACCCTTCAAACTGTAATACAGCCATGCAAACACATTTGTTTCAAGGTAGAAACACGAATGGGATAGAGATATCTAAGCAAACGACTTTTGTACAAAGTCTCCCTCTGGTCTCTTTCTTTACTTTTCTCAATTGCCAAAAAAGTAAAGTTTTCAGGGTTCATGTATATATAAGTTTGTTTATTTCACTGTAACTTCTAAATACCTGAATACGCAATATTTTTAGAATCTTTATATCGTCTCAAGTAATGCTATATTCTATAGGCTCATGTCTGTAGGCGACGGTTACCACTTTCCATCAGGTGGGCCGTCAGCTTGTTTGTCATTCTAAGTTGTATAAAAAAAATGCAGGCAATTCATTGTTTAATATAGCGTCGAAGGTCCCACAATGGTCCTTACATACCGACATGAACTAATATTTGCCGATGTGTTTACCAATTTACGGTTTACAAAACAGAGGTCATGCGATAGCTTCTTAGGTAGCACGGAACGACTCTGTCACTATCTATACACGTAATAAGAGATTTAAATGACGTATAATATAATTTTTTTGTAAATTACTGCCTTTTTCCAGTGACTCTGCCTGCGTCTGTCGCAGGAATTTCTATAATCTGCATCAATATAACTTTTTTTTTTAATGTATGATAATGGAATAGTAACCCCACCAGAGAAAGACTGTACAAAAGTCGATTGCTTGTGTACCTCTGTCCCATTCGTGTTTCAACCGTTAAGCAGTTGTGTTTGCATGGCTGTGTTACGGTTTGAAGGGTGGGATATAGCGTGAATTTACTGGCTATAGAGGAATAACACCTGAGTCCTCAGGAATGGCAACGCATGGGGGGGGGTATCATGGGCGAAACAGTATACTCTGTTATGTCCATGGTACTACTCATGTCTATAGGCGACGGTTACCACTTTCCATCAGATGGGCCGTCAGCTTGTTTGCCATTCTAAGTTGTATAAAAAAAAAGCCTGCGTTATCGGTATACACCGACGGGGCACTAGTGAGGGATGATAGGTGAGGATGAAGCAGGTCAGTTAGCCCACCGTGACGTATCTAACAATAAATCAATCACGATGGTTTCCAGGGGGAACCACGAGGAGGTCGACCTGACAGAGTATATTACTAGCAATGGGGCTACTAATCCCTATTACTAACAATCCCTTCTCCCCCCAATAGCAAAAGAATAGTTACCCAAACAAAACACATTCTGCTGATGTTCAATAGGAGTACGAATAAAAAATCGGGGGAAAGGGATCGTTAGTAATGGGATCTAACTGACCCACTGTTAGCAATACACCCTATCATGTCGACCTCCACGCCGTTCCCCCTGGAAACAATCGCGGTTAATTCTAGTGGAATTCGTCACGATGGGCTAACTGACCTGCTTTCATTCTCACCTATCATCCCACACTGGTGCAGGTGTTCACAAAGGATACATAATCCTTTTTAATAATATGGTATGTACCGATTAGATCTACGAATATAGAAATCTTTAGCCGTGAATATAGGAGTTAGGTCGCAATTTTTTAATCCGCCAATAATGAAAACATGAATAAAGGAAGCGTGAATAAAAAGCTTTTACTGTTAAAGGCGATTAAGAATGAATGGACGGATGGATATTTAAATAAATATTAAATAATAGGTTTATAATGAAATTTGGTACACGGGTAGGTTAAGAGTATATCTTAGCTTAACACATAAGATATTTTATATATTAATTTCCGCAAAACAAGCCGCACGTTACAACTAGTAAAGAATTAATTTAATTTAAAAGCGTATTAATTAAATTCAAAGTTTATTAACAATATATTAGTACGTTTATGTGCCTAGTTAAAATTTCGAAAGGATTATACTAAGTTAAATATCAAAATTGTAAACATTAGTGTTTATTGGGCACGTCGCCCCGTGATAGTATTCGAAACAAGGACATCCGGATTACAAACTAATATTTACCAAACATGAATATACCGGAGGAAATATTGTTATTAGATTATGGCGAAATACAAAACTTTAAATGACTCACTAGCAATTTGCCTTCGATGCGATGACGGTTTCTAATTTGATTTATACAATTCTTTTTAGCGGATGATAATGGAATGTTTACTCCGCCTGTGCTAACGGTATACACTGGCGGGGCACCAGTGAGGGATGATAGGTGAGGATGAAGCAGGCCAGTTAGCCCATCGTGACGAATTCACCAATGAATCGATCACGATTGTTTCCAGGGGGTTACCGCGAGAAGATCCACCTAATAGGGTACATTGCTAATAATAGGGTTGCTAGTCCCCATTACTAACAACCCCTTTTCCCCAATTTACCAATATTATTATTTGTTTATTACCTCTTGACGCATCAGAAGCTCGATTAATCGATGTAAAATTTGGCATTCATGTTAATTAGGATGAAAATAACTGCTCTCCGCTTTTATTATTATTATTTCAGCCGTTAACTGTCCACTGCTGGACATAAGCTTTCCCCATAAGGGGAGTTTTGCCAGTAGTTGCCACGCTTGATAGGCGGGTTGGCAACCGCAGTTAGGCTTTTAGAGATGTTTTAAGAGGGACGCTACTGCCCACGGGAAAGGTAGGGGCGGCCCAATCTATGTCGGAGCACAGCAAACTGTTCTTTGTACCCATTCCAAATAAGATATGGAATGTTTCACACGTAACAGAAGAAGGATGGAATATGCCAGTAAATTAACAGGGTACAGAGGATTAACACCTGAGTCCTCAGGAATGGCAACGCATTGGGGGGTATCATGGGCGAAACAGTATACTCTGTTATGTCCATGGTACTGCTCATGTCTATAGGCGACAGTTACCACTTTCCATCAGGAGAGCCGTTAGTTTGTTTGCCATTCTAAGTTGCATAAAAAAATATTCGATTTCTTTTTACCATAATCGACTATAAGTCTTAGTAATCCAACCGTATATTCAATATATTTGCAAAAACGCTTACACGTTGGACATTCCGATGTGATTTCTTATGAATTCACATTCAAATAACGAATTTGGACAAGGTCGTTTGCTTACGTATACCCAGTCAACAGTAATTTCTTTGCCTTATCTGTATATATTTTTTTTCTATTTTTTTTAATAACCTTACCTAAACGGCAAAGTTCTAGCTCACGTGTCACGTGCATCTATTCTTTATAATATTATTTTTTTAATATTACTTTTGCGAAAGTTTGTACCACCTTTTATCATCGCACCGCTCGCCATCGACAGGGAATTCATACTCACACGCTTGAACCTAAATGGTCACGTACAGTACGGTTCCAAAGAAATTTTCTCCCACGAACGCTCAGGCTGTGGACTGAGCTCCCTGCCGAGGTTTCCTCTAGAGACTACAGTATGGGGTTCTTCAAAAAAGGTATATTAAGATTTCTTCAGGATCGGCAACGCGCACGTGACATCCGTACTGTTGCAGGCGTCCATAGACTACAGTGGCCGTTTACCATCAGACTGTACGCTTGTTTTTCACATTTGTGATATAAAAAAAAAATTAATACATAAGTTACTTAACAGTGATTAAAATAAAATTTTGTCCGTTCGTTTCATCTTGTCATTGGTCTAAATCAAGGCGAGGCGGCGCGGCGCACCGTCGACTCTTAATTTTCTATTTTATCTCTGATATTTTAATATTAATAGCGGCTGCGTCAAAAACGACCTTTACACACATTTAAATTGTTATTTGAAGATAATAAATTGTCTTTTATGTTTAATGAAGGTAACGTTGTTGGTATGTTAAAATATATTAGTTACATGCATGGCCGTAACTAGGGGGAGGAGGGCATTGACGGGCAATGCCCTACCTTAGAAGGCCCAATGCCCTATCTTAAAACGAAAGCCCCTAAGAAAATTAAACAGATTCGCTTTTTTAAAGTCACTTCATTATCGCTTCTGTCCTATCAAAAAGTTCTTTTGCCCTACTTTAATCTTGGGTCTAGATACGGCCCTGGTTTCATGACTAGCTCTGTTTGCGTCTCAGACCACATGGTAGGTAAACAGGTATCGACGTGGCAAAATCTGATAATAAGAGACATATGTTTACAACTAGAATGAGGTAGTCGAAATAGTGTCAACTATTGCTATTGTAATGGACGTAACAATCTGCGTAATCATATCGAATCCAATAATGTTATTGAATGGCAAACAAGCTGAAGGCCCGCCTTATGGAAAGTAGTAAACGTCGCCTGTACACGTGAACAGCAACATAGACATAATAGAGTACACTGTGATGCCCGTAGCATGCCTCATCCGATGCTATTCCTAAGAACTATGGTTTATCCCTCTATACCCTGTAGTTTCAATGCATGGAAGCACAACTGCTTCAGAAATACGGATGAGACAGAAATAGAGACCACAGACGAAGAGCTATGAAAATCTCTTTAGGATCGTCAACGCGCACGTGACACCCTTAGTGCTGCAGACGTCCATAGGCTACAGTAATCGTTAACCATCAGACGGGCTGCATGCTTGTTTGTCACCTTTGTGGTATAAAATTTAATAAATAAATAAAACAAAGGCAACATTGTTTGGAAAACATTGGAAAACAAACCCTTGTTTTCCAATTAAGAAATAAAAAAGTCGTCAAATCAGTACAGAACTATCTTATACAAAGTACACAAAAAAGGTTAAACTACTTTCTTTGCCTTGTGAAAAAATCTTTACCCAAAAAAACCATATAAAGTACAGATAGTTTAATCTGACCGTTTTATTGTTACAGCTCACCTCTCCGGCAGCATATTGCACAGCGTGAACGTCTCCCTCATCAACCCCGGCGAATGCCAGGCCAAGCTCTCCCAGGACTATCCCCACCTACTCGAGCAGTATGACCAGGACAGCTGCGTCTGCGGGCAGCCCACTAACCCGACGAACAACATTTGCAAGGTAAATCTATGAAGATCACCACCCCACATTACATTTTTGCTGTAAACAATAGTGAACAATCTTTTACCGTGTTTTTCTCGTCGTCAGGTCGACATCGGCAGTGCCCTCGCATGCACAACGAGTGGGTACTACGTTCTCAGAGGCGTGTACTCCTGGGATTCAGGTAAGAGATCCACCTATAAAGTAGTCTTAAAATGTTTAAAAGTAAATCAGATTGATCAAGATAAATGGGTTTTTTTTTTTGATGGGTGAAAATGATATGGTAACCCCGCCTGCGCTAACGGGATACGCTGGCGGAGCACCAGTCAAGGATGATAGATGAGAATGAAAACAGGCCAGTTACCCCATCATGATGAATTCATCAGGAATTAACCATGATAGTTTCCAGGGAGAACCGCGACTAGGTCGACCTGGTTGGGTATATTGCTAGCAATGGGATTCTCAGTCTCCATTACTAACAATCCCTTTCCCCCCAGATAAATGGGGTTGTATTTCACATAAAAAAAACCCGACTTCAATTGTAACAGAACTAGTTATGTATTTTGATTTTAAAACTAAATTACTGAACCTATTTAAAAAAAAATCTATGGGACCAAACTGCAAGTACATCATTTATCTCTATACTTGTAAATCACTAATAATATTTTTCCCCCATTTCAGGCTGCCAACCTGGTAACCAAGTGGCCGGTTTCTACAAATTTGACCTCGAATGGTACCAATGGGCTATTGGCCTAATCGAAAGCGCCAGATTCGCCCAATTCTCTGGTAATACACAATCTGGCGGCAGGTTCTCAGGCCAAATCAGTTCTGGTGGCAGCAGCAGCAGCAGAGGAAACCAGTTCGTCGGTGGAATCAAGATCGGAGGTGGCATCGGCGCTAGTGGCCAATTCGGGCAAAACAAATTCTCCAGTGTTCAATCTCAGATCACAGGAAACAGGATCGCGGGAGAAGCCGTCGGCACAGGATCCTTCCAGAATCAATTCCAAACTGGTCAAAGTAAAATCCAAGGTGGCCAATCTCAGTTCCTAGGTGGTTCAAATCAGCTGCAAGGCAGCCAAGGCACGTTCCAAAGTGGGCAAACCGGATTCCAAGCTCAGTTGCCGTTAGGGCAAAATCAATTCACAAGCTCCGTGGGACAATTTGGATCCAGCAAGTACCAATCTGGAAGCAGCTCTTCTGGTGCTACCGTCCAAAGTTCAGCGCCAGTATCCAACACGTTCACAGCGACGTATACAGAGAAAAAGATCTTCCAGTCGGAACCTAAAATAGTTACTTACACAACTAAGCCCGAAATCGTTACATTCACGACTAAACCCGAATACTTCACTTACACAACTCAGCCCAAAGTATTCAGTTACACGACTAAGCCCCAAGTGATCACTTACGAGACGTCGGGAAGCGGCACGAATCCCCAATACGCGGCGCCGAATGTGTCCTTTAATCCAACATTTACAGACGCGGTAAAGGGCCACGCCCATAGTGCTCAATGCAAATGCTTACAGAACGGCAAAAAGTGAGCTTAATTTTACTAATCGTTTTAAAATTGGTTACAAAAATTATGGGGTTAATCGTGCCATAAAAAAAATTTTTTTTTGTAATACATTTATGATAATATCATTATTAGAAATTCAAATATTTAATTAATTAAAGTACAAAAATGAAGCCAGTTCCTAAATGGTAACCGTAAATTATTTCTGGCCAATATTTCCGTAACTGAACGATTGACGGTGTAATAATGTGAAATATACATTAAAAAAAAAAACTATTTATGAATATAAAAGAAAATCTGTAAATAGGTAGGCTTTTATTATTTCATTTTCTTACCACGACTCTAGTGAATTCATTTTTACAATTACAATTTTATTTGTGTATTTATATTATTTAGATTTGACAACTGCCATCTTAGTTTTTTGTCATCAATGTTCGCTTTCGCTTTGTTAAATTTTTATTTACGAAATTAAAATTGTTAAATATAGGTAAAAATAAGGTTAAATGTGGAATTCAAACTAAAAATTAGATTTTTGACCATATTGGGTGTTTTGACCAAAATGGTCGACTTTCTAATTCGATCGGTTTTTTTAGTTGTATAAAAATAATAATAAGTTTTATATATTAAATATATAAAAAATTTGTCGTACGCAAAAGTATTTAGTCAATGTATTTACACTGATTATTATACATAATTTGTTACAATTAGTATTAAATAATTGAAATAAAATGGAGATATTTTACAAATATATTGTGTGTGGTTTTATTTTTGAACTAGCTGTCATCCCTCGCCCGTGAGAGGTAAATATCCTTTTCTTCTATGCAGGGATAATATGGATACCGAAGGGGGAAAGGAATTGTTAGTATTGGGATCTACCATCGACATTGCTAGCAATATTAAACAATAACAATTTTTCATCCTCACCTATCATCCCTCACTGGTGCCCCGCCAGCGTTTACCAATGATGCAGGCGGGGTTACAATTCCATCCTCATCCATTAAAAAAAATGGATACCGATCTGTTGTCTGTACATTGAGATACTCTGGACATTGATGGTCGAAAAAAGGTCATCACCCATTTAGATAGCGCCCATATCAGTCGGATTTTCGAATATGTTAAAAATCGAAAGATTTGATGAAAATCCAATATTATTTTTTGGATAAGACTTTAACATATTCGTTATTGGACTAATATATATATATTGTAAATGAATATATAGATGTCGTAAGAATATATATAGATATTGCTGTATATTACCCACACCTAATTTCCTCTAGAAATGAATTGTCAAGCACAATAAGCTTGTATTCCATAAAAAAAAACCACTTCCACTTGTGGCAAAACCAATAATTATGATCTAAAAACTAAACTACTGAACTGAGTTTGATAAATTGTCTATGGAACTAATGAAAAATACATAAATTTTTGTTTTCTCAATGTCCTCTCTATCCAAAGATTTTTTGGAAGAGATTGCTCGAATGAATTGAATGAAGTGATGAATAAGGCCGCATTTTGTATTAAATCTCATTAAAATTAACTGTACTATTTTATAAATGGAGCAATAAAGTGTAAAATAAATAAATACATTAGACATTAGACATACAGGATACTAAAAAAAATCGCCGACAAATTCCCTTATTTACCACGTCGCAGTGAAAACCAAAGAGAGCCGAGAGAATAGGAATTTTCAAGAAAATAAATGAAATTAATTAGTGTAAAAATTACTAGTTAAAATTGTGAGATGATATTGCCATCTAGTAGACAGTAGCTAAATTATCAAACTTTAACACCCCATGCTTAAAATTTTCTTGCTTATTTGGTCATAGCAATAATATTTCATAAAATCTGTAATAGATGGCGCTTGTTACAAACTCCTTTGTAATTTGTAATTTCTAATATTGTATTCTTTTAATTATTCATTTTTTTATAAACTGTCAGTATAACTTTTCAACACGAACCGGCGTTTTCTTTCTTACAATCAGTTCACAATATTATTGGTCCTTCTACCGTTTTAAGTGTTGGAAATGGTACTCACACGTTCCCAAAAAGGCAAGCCGTCGAATAAATACGAAAATACCATGGATCACAGCAAGAGTGGACAGTCAAACCCTACGTATGGAGATCAAGGGACGTCGGAGGCCCAATGTGCGTCCACCAGTCAAATGGATGCGCCTTCGGAGGGAGTTCACTTGGAACCCCCACCCAGGTCTCGGGGTGACAGTCACACCGCATCGAGAAGATCCACAGGGAGTATGGTAAAGGCTAGGCTTTTAGCAGCCAAGGCGGAGCACGCTCGCCGACTCGCTGAGTTAGAACGTAAGGTTGCGGTTGCTGAGCTACGCGCACAGCTCGCCGCTATAGAGGCTGAGAGTAGCGTACATGCAAACTCGTATGCAAGCTCGTGTATGAGTAGCAAACAGGTTGAAACGTGGTTGAATAATAACCCGGGTGATGGCCCGTTAGCAGAGGAGCCGATCGATCGGCAACCCGGCATTAGTGCCCCAGAGGTCCCTGCGTCACACTCTTTAGGGTTACCATTTCATCCTACTACTTCTCACAACTCTGTCAGTGATCTCCAGGGACAAAAGTACACGGGGAGTTTTGATGCACAATTCATAGCTAAGGCTATAGGTGATTTAGGTGCAGTCTTAATAAGTAATAAATCGAATACCTGTAATACCAAGTTGCCGTTATTTGATGGTAGGTGTGCTACTGAGTGGCTTAGCTTCAAACGTACATTTGTAGATACGGAAAAATTCTATTCAGCAGGTGAGAATCTCGCACGCCTAAACGGTGCGCTGCGTGGAGCCGCGCGGGAGGCTGTTCACGTCCTATTGGTATCGGCGCGTGACCCACAGCAGGTCATCAGTGCACTCGAAACCCGATTTGGATGTCCCGAGATGATTATGCTACAAGAATTAAATTCCGTCCGAGCCCTACCGAAAGTTAGTAGCGAAGGAAAGGATTTAGGTATTTTTGCGTGTCGAGTGAAAAACTGCATTGAAATAATGCGATTATTAAATCAGGCAGATTATTTAGGTTCACCTGAACTTTTCAACGTATTAGTTAGCAAACTGACTCCACTTTTACATATGCGTTGGTTAGATTATGCAGCTAGTCATACTGAGGGAGGTAGTAAACTCGAGGTATTATCTGAGTTTCTTGTACGGGAGATACATTTACAAAATAAATTTGGAATAATTTCAGACACATATTTACATCCGTCGACCTCTCATACTACTCGTAATACATCAAATCACACACATAAACAGGGTAAGTATCAAGTTAATTGCAATACGGGAAGCGTGAGTTCAGGTTCATCTAAAAAACCTAATAAATCGTATGTAAATAAATCTGCAAACATGTCATACATATTTTGTAAACAAACAGAACATGACATTGTCGTATGTGACAAATTTTTATCTTTATCTATTGATGACAGATGGAAATGGGTAAAGGCTAATAAGGTTTGTTATCGTTGTTTACGAAAAAATTCGCATAGATTTAAATTATGTAAAAATAAATCTACGTGTGGTAAGGATGGTTGTTTATTCAAACATCACTTTCTTTTACACAACAATAGCGTAGAACTTAACCTCGTTGCACATGCAGATGTAGACATTGTAGATTCTGATTCTTCTACATCACAAAGCGACAAGAATCAGATAGTAAATACTCGCAGAACTGAAGAATGTGCTGTCGAAGTTTCAGCTCATGCTACCACCACTTTTCCGAACACACTTTCTCGCTCTTTACTAAAAATAATTGCTGTCAGAGTGTCTGGTCCCTGTGGTACTGTCAACACATATGCACTATTAGATGACGGCTGTACTACAACACTGATTGACGCGAAAATTTCGAAGCATATTGGTGCTGTAGGTCCCAAAGGTCGTGTGCATATTGACTGCTTAGGTGGACTTTCGAAAGTGAGTGATTTTTATTTAGTTAATTTTACTATCCAAGGTTTACACAGCGAAGATTCCTTTCAAATTCACGGTGCTCGTTCCGTTGACAATTTAGGTGTAGCTTATCAATACGGTATTCAAGCTGACGATTTGAAGAAATATCCTCATCTTTTCGAAATTGCCGATGAGCTTTGTTACGAAAACGCGCAACCTACAATCGTGATAGGGATTGATAACTGTCACTTGACAGTACCTAAATTAATACGAGCGGGTACTGCTACTGAACCGATGGCTATTAAGACTGTTTTAGGTTGGGTTGTTTGTGGACCTATTAGTAAAAGTAAAATAGGAAGTGGTCGTGATATAATAAATCACGCTACAGTTTTTGATGATTGTCAATCCGATAACATTCAAAATTTTGAAGAGATAATTAAAGAACATTATAGATTGGATTCAATTGGCATTGTTAAAAAAGAATATCGCGGTAGGTCGGACGCGCATGCACTCAAAATTTTGGAAACCACAGTGCGACGATTGCCTGATGGACATTTTGAAGCTGGTCTTTTGTGGCGTCCTGATATTAGTGTCGTGCCAAATAATTATAGATTAGCACTTTCACGTTTTCTTAGCCTAGAAAAGAAGATGAAAAGTGATAATCAATACGCGCAGTTATATCGTCTGAATGTACAAGCTATGATAAACAAGGGCTACGTTGAAGAATGTCACAAGTCACCAATAGGTATTTCCTGGTATCTTCCGCATTTTGGGGTGACACATCCGCATAAACCAGGAAAATTACGCATTGTTCATGATGCTGCTGCTAAATTCCAAGGGGTCAGCTTAAATTCTTTATTATTACCCGGTCCTGATCTCTTACAGCCCCTTCTTGGTATACTCATGAGATTTAGGGAAGGCCCTATTGCTTTAACAGCCGATATTCGAGAGATGTTTCCGCAGGTTAAGATAAGGGAGCAGGACCGAGACGCTCAAAGATTTTTATGGCGCGATTATCACACGCAGGAAATTAAAATATATCGCATGTCTTCAATGATGTTCGGCGCTTGTTCGAGTCCATGTACCGCGTTGTATGTTAAAAAAGCGAATGCTGATGAATTCCAAGGAGAATTCCCGGAAGCAGCACATGCCTCTGTATTTGATACATACATGGATGGCTATATAGGATCGCAGGACAACATTGAGAAAGCAGCTCGTTTAGCTGCAGATATTGTAGAGCTGAATAAGCGAGCTGGTTTTGAGATGCGCGGTTGGGTATCCAACAATCCTGATGCCCTATCACTTTTATCAAAAGACTTGGTTTCTACTTGTATCAAAAGTAGAAACGAGTCCATAGATTTAGGTAATTCGAACAACGACGTAAATGTTCGGACTCTAGGTCTTATTTGGCAGCCTAATATTGATACAATTTCGTTTAGTATTGGGTTCGAAAATGATAAATTGCCACATCAGATTACTAAACGTGATGCGCTTTCTTATGTAATGCGTATTTATGATCCTCTTGGTATTTTAGGACCTATAGTTATCAGAGGGCGTATCATGTTTCAGAATATATGGCGTAAACGCCTCACATGGGACGACGAGTTACCTCAAACCGACCTGAAGATTTGGCATAATTGGTTTCAGGATCTAAATTTGGTATCTAATCTCAAGATATCACGCTATTACGGTTTGAGTGAACCCGATGTATCCAAACGCGAGCTTCACATCTTCTGTGATGCTAGCGAAATGGCTTATGCAGCAGTTGCATATTGGCGGATGATTTTTACAAACGGAGATGTGAAGGTCGTTCTCATTTCCAGTAAGTGTAGAGTAGCTCCATTAAAGCCGACCTCCATCCCCCGTTTAGAACTCCAGGGAGCGTTAGTCGCTGCTCGTCTAGCGTCATTCATAGTCGAATCTCATAACCATAAACCAACAAAACGATTCTTTTGGACTGATTCGTTAAACGTGCTAGGGTGGCTCCGGAGTGATGCGCGTACCTATAAGCCATTTGTAGCTCATCGTTTGGGTGAGATACTCGAACTCACACTAGTCAATGAATAGCGATGGGTTCCAACGCATAGTAACATGGCCGATGATGCTACGCGTGTTAATCGTATTGTTTTAACACAGTCGTCTCGTTGGCTTGTAGGTCCCAATTTTCTGTATGACAGTGAGTCTAGTTGGCCATCATCTCCACCAGTATCTATGGCTGGTAGCTTGGACAAAAACGACGTAGAACTTAAACCGTCTACTCGTCATCACTCATGTGTTGTTAATCTCATTACGTCACAGCCATCTCCCATGCCTCTTGTAGTTAGCTCTGACAGACTAAGCTCCTGGTTGAGATTGTTAAGAGCAACGGCAAGAGCTCATAAATTCATTACCTTGCTGCGTCGGAAAGGCACTTCTGAAATTACGGCTGAAGATTTGTCTGTTGCTGAAACACATTTACTGCGACATAGCCAGTTAGAAACGTTTGCGGAAGAACTTGTACTCTTGAAAAATGGTCAACCTCTACCACGGAAGAGCAAATTGTTCACTCTTTCCCCGGTTATCGATGATCAGCGAGTCATCCGTTTAAAAGGCAGGATTGATCGTGCAATAGACGTCGAAGATCACGTGAAGCGCCCTATTATCTTGGATGCTCGTCATCGGACTGTGCGTCTACTTATTGCCTATTATCACGAAAAGGCAGCTCATGGCAATACAGAGTTGGTAGTGAATGAACTCAGACAGTTTTATTGGATCATTCACCTTCGAAGCGCTGTTCGATCTGTTGCTTACAATTGCAGAGTCTGCAAGATAAGACGTGCTACACCGTATCAGCCTCCTATGGGAGACTTACCCGCTGCCCGTGTAGCTCATCACAAGAGACCCTTCAGTTTTACTGGTCTTGACTATTTTGGACCTCTTCAAGTTGCTGTTGGCCGACGTCGTGAAAAGCGGTATGTCGCTCTTTTTACATGTTTGGTGACTAGAGCAGTTCACCTAGAATTGGTACATAGTTTGAGTACCGATGCCGCTATTATGAGTTTACGCAGATTTATTGGTAGACGTGGGGTTCCTACAGAAATCTGGTCGGACAATGGGACGGCATTCGTCGGTGCCAATCATTTATTGAAGTCTTTGTATGGAGCTGAAATGGAACTGTTTGCTGCAAATGAGTGTATTTCTTGGAAATTCATTCCACCATCTGCTCCTTTTATGGGCGGTTCATGGGAGAGATTAGTGAGATCAGTGAAAACCGCCATGCAAGTCACTTTGAAAGAGCGTACACCCAGTGACGAGATTTTGTTAACTCTTCTTATAGAGGCAGAAGCGCTCATAAATTCCAGACCTCTCACTCACGTGCCTTCTGACCCTGATCAGAGTGAAGCTTTGACTCCTTTCCATTTTATACTTGGAACTTCGTCAGGAAAACCAATACCTGCACGTCTAGAAGACCGAGACCTCTGTAGTAGAGCAGGATGGAAAAGGGCCCTACGCCTCGCAGATCATTTCTGGTCCAGGTGGGTTAAAGAATATCTGCCAACACTATTGCCTAGACGAGGGCAGGGTATTGCGCCAAGAGTGAATGTGGGGGACCTGGTGCCAGTTGTAGATGATCAACAACCGCGTGGAACGTGGCTAAGAGGTATAATCACTGCAATTTATCGAGGACAAGATAGCATTGCTCGAATAGCCGAAGTACGGACGCCTATCGGCTTATTTAGACGCCCAATGAGGAAGTTGGTGCCCCTGCCTACGTAAAAAAGGGGAGTGTTACAAACTCCTTTGTAATTTGTAATTTCTAATATTGTATTCTTTTAATTATTCATTTTTTTATAAACTGTCAGTATAACTTTTCAACACGAACCGGCGTTTTCTTTCTTACAATCAGTTCACAATAGCGCTATTAAAGAATAATATAAATAATGTGATAATAAATGGAATAATTCTTACTAATACTTGTTAGTGTAAAATTGAATTTGTTTATTTGTTACCTCTTGACACCATAATCACCTAACTAACTATGAAATTTGGTATACAGGTTCAGTATAGAGTGAAAAAGATATCTTTATATAAGATATATTATATGCTTTTTATCCTAGTCAATGAATATTTCCCGGCCACGGGGACAAAGTCGCCAAAAACAAAACAGTAAAACAATAGTCAACAAATGTCCCTGACTGGACATCTGGAAATTTGCAACATTTTTACCTATTTTATTTTTAATAAATTGGGCTCTGGTGCTCATTTTTTGCTGCCTGCATGTTTCTTGCCAAGCAGCTTGCTTTAATTTAATTTAATTTGAAAATTAGCTGACTAAAAGTTGGCCCGTTTTTGAAGCTCGATGCACTATCTACATAATCTGAGACCTGCCTATATAATAATTCACAACCTCTTTTGAGTGTAACGTCTGTCTATCTAAATTCTTGTCAAACCTACCATTTTACACAAGTTAGAAAACATCAATTTACATAATAATATCTTCTGACGCTGATCCAAAATGAAAAGGCACTTATTTAGTTCCAATGCCAAAATACACATATATACAGGTAAGCAATATGATTACCTACGGGTCTTTTTGTATCTTCACGCAGATTTATTGTGTAAAACAGCAGAGTTATTGCTAATTATGTCCATACAATTATTATACAATATTTTCACACTTCATTCAAATTTTAGGTTTTTTTTTTTGATGGGTGAAAATGGTATGGTAACCCCGCCTGCGCTAACGAGATACGCTGGCGAGGCACCAGTGAAGGGTGATCGATGAGAATGAAAACAGGCCAGTTAGCCCATCATGATGAATTCATCAGGAATTAACCATGATAGTTTCCAGGGAGAACCGCGAGGAGGTCAACCTGGTTGGGTATATTGCTAGCAATGGGATTTTCAGTCTCCATTACCAACAACCCCCCCCCCCCCCCCCCCCCCGCCCCACTTTTTAGGTTTACATATCAATCTATGGCTACTAATATAGCATTATATTATCTGTACCATGGCTATACAATATAATGGGGCTGTTTATAACGACTTGTCATGAAATAGTCTTTTACTGCGTATTATGTGTATGTTTTTATTGTAATTTGTGTGCCGTAAGTAATGTAAATAAATTATCTATCTATCTATCTAGTAACCTTGTTTGCGCATTTGGTATATGCTGACGGGGCACCAGTAAGAGATGATAGGAAAGAATGAAAACAGGTCAATTAGCTCATCGTGACAAATTCTACAATAATTAACCAAGTTAGTTTTCAGAGAGCACCGCGTGGAAGTCCACCTGTGGGGTTGCTCTTGAAATAAATTTCAATAAATCGATATTGAAATTGAGAGGTGTCGCATTATCAAATGCAATACTAGCGACGTAATGGTAACATATATGTTCTGTTAGATGCATATTAATGTAACTTGCCAATGGAAAGTATTGTAAACTGATCCTAATTCTAACCTAATTCCTAAATGTTGTTTTGTGAGTGCTGTATAAAATTGTCAGTAGCAATAGATTGGATTGGCGGGGAAAGGGATTGTCAGTAATGTGATACTAGCAATATACCCTCTCAGGTCGACCTCCACATGGTTCCCCCTGGAAGCCATCATGTTTAATTCTTGTCAAATTCATCACGATGGGCCAACTGACCTGCATTCATTCTCACCTATCATCTTCCACTGGTGCCTCGTCGGTGTATACCGATAGCGCGGGCGGGGTTACCATTCCATTTTCACCTATTTAAAAAAAATGGTTTGATACTGATATTAGATTCAAGTGTAGATCTGTTGATATGATTACTAACAATCCCTTATCCCCCCCCCCCTCCCTCCATCTCAATATTATTTCATTTTCCATGATGTATCGTCATAGGATTCGTGTTTCAACCGTGAGGCAGTTGTGTTTGCATGGCTGTGTTTCGGTTTGAAGGGTGGGATATGGCGTGAATTTACTGGGTACAGAGGAATAACACCTGAGTCCTCAGGAATGGCAACACATGGTGGGTATCATGGACGAAACAGTATACTCTGTTATGTCCATGCTATTACTCTTGTGTATAGGCGACGGTTACCACTTTCCATCAGGTGGGCCGTCAGCTTATTTGCCATTCTAAGTTGTATAAAAAAAAGAAATAAGAACTAGGTTTTACCAAGTGTCTTTTTTCCTATAATATGCTTTAGGTATTCCGAATTGCGATTATTTCTTGTATAAGACACATCGACATCAAGCGAGGATCATCAGGGGAGTACGATGGCTCAGCAAGAACACGCCAGGGTGCGTCGTCTACCACAAGAATCTTCCATCCTGTCGCCGGCCACGTCTGACTCCACTACATCCGTGTCCAATACATCACTGTCCTCGTCTATCTCACGGTATGCTCCTCGAGTTTTTCATATCTGTCATCCGTCTATACGTATTACATAAGGCTCCCCCTTGAGGGGTTTTTTCAATAGTTGCCACGCTTGACAGGTGGATTGACAAATGCAGTTAGGCTTTGGTGATACTCAAAGAGGGGCACTGCTGCCCATCCTTCGGTGGAAAGGAAGGAAGGGGTGGCCCATTCTATGCTGAAATCACACGGCCAGGTTTTTATTTAGCTACAAATGTTGGTACCTAGGAGAAGAGGCAAAATGCTGGGCCACCTTATACGACATGACGATTTTTTTAAGAGCATAGTAGAAGGAAAGATAGAGGGCAAAACAGGAAGAGGAAGACCGAGGTATAACTACATGGGACAGATAAAGGAAACACTAGGCGTCATGTCGTATAGGGAGATAAAGGATATGGCCTGGGATAGAGCTGGCTGGAGGAAGATGCATGAATTAGTTGCACCGACAAGAGGAAACTCTTAAATGAAAAGAAGAAGTTGGTACCTACTATAAAAGTTCTTTAGATTGTTATGATGATAATGGAATTATAGCCCCCGTGAGCCATCGGTGATGGCACCAGTTAAGGATGATAAAGAAAGATATAAAGAGATCACTTAGCTCATCATGACTAATTCAGCAAAAAATATGATAATTTTTGTATTACAGATTTTTTTTTTATACAACTTAGAATGGCAAACAAGCTGACGGCCCACCTGATGGAAAGTGGTAATCGTCGCCTATAGACATGAGCAGTACCATGGACATAACAGAGTGTACTGTTTCGCCCATGATACCCCTATGCGTTGCCATTCCCGAGGACTCAGGTGTTATTCCTCTGTACCTAGTAAATTCACGCCATATCCCACCCTTCAAACCGAAACACAGCCATGCACACACAGCTGCTTCACGGTTGAAACACGAATGGGACAAAGGTACCCAATCGCAATCGACTTTTGTACAAAGTTACTCTAGTTTGTATTTTATGCACGAAAAATTATTAATTCACTCTTACGCCACCTGGCCACTTCTGTCTGTTCTCCTTTAACCAAAGGTTGTCTGTAAGAGATTGCCCTAGCGACCGCCTTTTGTACCTTCATGTGTATATTTCAATCCGTATTCATGTTACTGTATTTCACTTGAATTATTCACTTGTCATTGTATATTTTTGTTTATGGTGCAATAAAGAGTTAAATAAAAAAAAATTATAATAATAGTTTCCAAGGATAACCACTTTGAGGCAGACCTGATAGCGTTTATTGCTAGCAATAGGACTGTAAGACCCCATTGCTAACAATCTCTTTCCCCCCTATTTTTTACGCTTTAATAGTAGTAATTTATTTCAATGGAACTTCATTAAAAGGTAACCAAGTTTTGTTGGAGAGAAGAGATTGTTAGTATTACAGTTTAGCGGGCCCGTTGCTAGCAATACAATACACTGTCAGGTCGACCTCCACGCGGCCCACTGCAAACTATCATGATTGCTACTATTGAATTCGTCACGATATGCCAACGTTGCTTTTATCTTCACCTTTCCATCCCTCACTGGTGCCCCGCTAGTGGGTACAGATAGCGCAGGTGGGGTACGATCCCCATTTCATTATCATCCATTAAAAAAAAACTATTTTTTTGAAAAACCGCATACTGTAGTCTTGTTTAAAAATATACCGAGATTTTAATAAGTTAGAAAACTTGTATATTTTCTAGATTCCGAAACGACTTTGAAGAGTTGAAATGCAAGATGAAAATATTTGGCGAGTCGCTGAACCTCTGCCGGTGCATAGCTGACGACTTCAGGAGCAAGCTGACGCAGATGGAGAGAAGGCTGGAGAACCTGGAGCGGAGGCATCGGCTGTGGAGGGTGAGCTCTTTAGTGGATGATAATGAAATGGTGACTCCACCCCAGGCAGCAAAGTGACGTCTGCGACTCTAATAAGACATTAGTTTTAAATCGTTTTAAGGTCATTGACTGAAAATTGACGTCAACAAGATAACGAATTGCTACCTGTGCCAGGCCAGTTAGCCCATCATGATGAATTCACCAGGAATTAACCATGATAGTTTCCAGGGAGAACAGCGAGGAGGTCGACCTGGTTGGGTATATTGCTAGCAATGGGATTCTCAGTCTCTATTACTAACAATCCCTTTCCCCCCGCAATGGGGCAGTTTTTTTTTTATGGGTAATAATGAAATAGTAACCCCACCCACACTATCGGTATACACCGGCGGGGCACCAGTGAAGAATGATAGGTCAGGATGAAGCAGGTCAGTTAGCCCATCGTGACGAATTCAAAAAGAATTGTTCACGATGGTTTCCAGGGGGAACCACATGGAGGTCGACCTGATAGGGCATATTGCTAGCAATGGGGTTGTCAATCTCCATTGCTAACAAACCCTTTCCCCCCGCAATGGGGCAGTTACACTTCATTACTAATCTCTTTTCCCTCCAAACATCCTCTCCTAGTGGCCCGCCACCGTATACCTATAGCGCAATTGGCATTAAAAAAAAATCTAGTGGCGCCGGCTTATAAATAATGTCTAAGAAAAAAAATACTACAATAAAAGAAACAAATTATTATTAACTTGTTAAACAACAATATTGCCAGCTATAGAAAGATTACCCCGAAATCTAGGTAATTTTATAACCTCGTCACGTAAGCGTCGGATCGTCCGTTCCGTATTATTTCGCCGTGATTTTTGCGTTATCGTATAACGAGTTATTTCCACATTGTAACACTGGCCATAATCTTATCTCGATCATTTTATTGCCTCAATGCATGTAAATGAGTATTAATGTTATAATTACAAATGTATTAAGACGTTATAATACCTATCGAGATTACACCGATTATCTATTTGATAGGGGGGAAAGGGATTGTTAGTAATGGAGACTGAGAATCCTATTGCTAGCAATATACCCAACCAGGTTGACCTCCTCGCGGTTCTCCCTGGAAACTATCATGGTTAATTCCTGATGAATTCATCATGATGGGCTAACTGGCCTGTTTTCATTCTCATCTATCACTGTTCACTGGTGCTCCGCCAGCGTATCCCGTTAGCGCAGGCGGGATTACCATACCATTTTCATCCTTCAAAAAAAAAAACTATTTCATAGCTAATTTGACAATTAGCTGACTATAAGTTGAGCTGTTTTTGAGGCTCAATGCTCTATCTACATAATCTAAGGAATAAAACGGGTTACTCTTTCCTTTCCCGTGGGTGTTTTAAGAGGCGACTATGGGAGCATATGCTGGAGAGATAGACAGCAGCAGCAGCGTTCCTCTTGAAATATCATCAAAAACCAAACTGCGGTTGCCAATCCGCCTGCCAAGCGTGGCAACTACTAGCTATACTGCCATATTATGGGGGAGGTCTGTGTTCAGCAGTGGACAGTTAACGGCTGATATCAAGTGAAAATGTTCTATAAGTTTTTAGTTTTCCGTACTGTTAACGATTTCGTAGTAGTACATGTGTTTTTTTTTTAATAGTTGATAATGAAATGGTAGCCCCACCCACGCTATCGGTATACACCGGCGGGGCACCAGTGAGGGATGATAGGTAAGGATGAAGCAGGTCAGTTAGCCCATCGTGACGAATTCAACAAGAATTGTTCACGATGGTTTCCAGGGGGAATCACGTGGAAGTCGAGCTAATAGGGCAAGTTGCTAACAATGGGTCTGTCAAACTCCATTGCTAACAATCCCTTTCCCCCCTCTGTACATGTGTGACAGAGTACCTACCAATCCTGCGCAGGCGATAAATAATCTACTTATCTGTGAGGAAACTTGTTTAATTCCATTAATATAAATAATACCTGATAATGCACAATGATATGGAATAATCCATCCGTTATCTTCTACGTTGTTAATTCCATAAAACGAGCGTTTAACTGTGTCAAAATATTAATTAACCCAGTAAAGTGAAGAAAAAACCGGATGTTTTTTTTTTTTTTTTTAATGTAAACAATATTATCAATCATCAAGTAGATATCATAAAAAGTTTATTTACCTACTTAAAAAATGGTCACTGCAGTGATGGATCGATAAAACGTCCCGCGGCTTCGTCTGCAACTGAACTGAGTTTTGTGTTATTGAGAAATTAAGAAATGAGAGAAATTATTGATTCCCCAAACAAACTACCAGCCCCTATTTCAACCCCTTCTAAATTTACCAGAAGGAGACTTTGTACAAAAGTCGATTGCTTGAATACCTCTGTCCCATTCGTATTTCGACCGTGAAGCAGTTGTGTTTGCATGGCTGTGTTTCGGTTTGAAGGGTGGGATATGGCGTGAATTTACTGGGTATAGAGGAATAACACCTGAGTCCTCAGGAATGGCAACGCATGGGAGGTATCATGGGTGAAACAGTATACTCTGTTATGTCCATGGTACTGCTCATGTCTATAGGCGATGGTTACCACTTTCCATATTGGTGGGCCGGCAGCTTGTTTGCCATTCTAAGTTGTATAAAAACATTTACTTTCGTGACAAAAATTAGTCTATATCCTTTTTTAAGGCCCAATCTATTTCTATATTTATTATAATACATTCTATGTGGGGGGAAGGGATTGTTAGTAAAGGGGAGTTTAGTCCACATTGCTATCAATACACCCTATCAGGTCGACCTCCACGCGGTTCCACCTGGAAACTATCGTGACCAATTAATCATTAAATTCGTCACAATGGGCTAACTGACCTGCCTTTTCATCCTCACCTATCACCGCTCACTGGTATACCGATAGCGCAGGCGGGGTAACCATGCCATTTTCACGAATAAAAAAACATCCTGTATAGAATGTTTATTTTTCCACCACTAGGAGAACAGACTCCAAATAAACTGGGTTAATTACCTGCAGAAAGGGGGGAAAGTAATTGTTAGTAATGGGGAGATTAGTCCCCATTGCTATCAATGTACCCTATCAGGTCGACTTCCACACATTTCCCCCTGAAAACTATCGTGACTATTTTATCGTTGAATTCGTCATGTTGGACTAACTGCCCTGGTTTTTCATCCTTGCTCATCCTTTTTTATCCTCACTGGTGCCCGGCCAGTGTTTACCGATAGCACGGGCGAGGTTGCTATTCTATTGTCAGCCAATATCCTGGTGAAAGAGGGGGAAAGGGATTGTTAGTAATGGGTACTAATGATTCCATTGCCACCAAGCCCTGTCAGATCGACCTCTACGCGGTCATCCTGGAAACCATTGTGATTAATACTTGATGCATTCATCACGATGGGCTAACTGACCTGCTTTCATTCTCATCTATCATCCTTCACTGGTGCCCCGCCAGTGTATACCGTTAGCGTGGGCAGGGTTACCATTCCATTATCATCCATTAAAAAATCGCGGACAAAGTGACGGATAAAAACTAGTATGTTTATATAGAGATACCAAAAGGTGCCGACACTCTATAAACAATAATATAATTAATCCCTCTGTCTGTCTGTACCTGTCTCATATCTGTCACTGATATTTTATTGTTGTTTTAACACGTGTAAGCAGGCAATGTAATTTTATTTGCATAAAGATGTTGGAATATTTATTGCAAAATAAACATTACCAGAGGGAGACTTTGTACAAAAGTCGATTGCTTGGGTACCTCTGTACCATTCGTGTTTCAACCGTGAAGCAGTTGTGTTTGCATGACTGTGTTTCGGTTTAAAGGGTGGGATATGACGTGAATTTACTGGGTACAGAGGAATAACACCTGAGTCCTCAGGAATAGCAACGCATGAGGGGTATCATGGGCGAAACAGTATACTCTGTTATGTCCATGGTACTGCTCATGTCTATAGGCGACGATTACCACTTTCCATCAGGTGGGCCGTCGGCTTGTTTGCCATTCTAAGTTGTATAAAAAAAAACCGCTGATAAAACCTAAGATTCTACATTCGATCAAACACTTGTTTATTTATTTATTATAATCTTTTATAACCTAGGAGGCAAGCAAGCTTGCGGCTCACTTCCTGGTACAGTTTTTTTTTACACAACTTAGAATGGCAAACAATCTAACGGCCCACCTGATGGAAAGTGGTAACCGTCGCCTATAGACATGAGCAGTACCATGCACATAACAGATAATATACTATTTCGCCCATGATACTCCCTATGCGTTGCCATTCCTGAGGACTCAGGTGTTATTCCTCTGTACCCTGTAAATTCACGCCATATCCCACCCTTCAAACCGAAACACAGCCATGCAAACACAACTGCTTCACAGTAGAAACACGAATGGGACAGAGGTGCTCGTGCAAACGATTTTTGTACAGTCTCCCTCTGGTTAGTGATTATATGCCGCTCAAAGGCGGTAGCCATAGACAAGAAGAGATTGTTGCTAATGAAGTCTAATTGCCCCATTGCCTGCAAACAATCCACTTATCATGTCGACCTGGAGAATATGGTCATTCTTGATGAATTTTCCATGATGGACCAACGTATCTGAGTTCACACTGACTGGTTTTTTTTTAATGGATGATAATGGAATGGTATCCCTGCCGGTATACGCTAGCAGATGATAGGTGAGAATGAAAAGGCAGGTCAGTTAGCCCATCGTGATGAATACACCTGGATTTCAGCACGATGGTTTTCAGGGGGGACCACGTGGAACTGGATAAGGTTTATTGCTAGCAATGGGACTCGTAGTACGCATTCATTCTCAATGGAATCCCTCATTGATGACCCGCCAGTGTATACCGATAGCGCGGGCCGGATTGCCATTCCATTATCATCCATTAAAAAAAACCTACCTAAAAAAGGGAAAGGGAGGAAACGGGGACTAGCAGCCCTATTGGTAGCAATATAACCCATCAGGTCGACTTCCACGCGGTTCCTCCTGGAAACCATCGTGGTTAATCTTGACGAACTCGTTACTATGAGCCAAATGACTTGCTTTCGTTCTCACCTATCTTCCCTTGCTGG